CTGCTAAAAGGTTTACAAAATGCAAGAATTGGCTTCAGTGGTGCCAGTTGTATAATCTGGTTGGGCTTGCCCACTTTCTGACATACCTCACAAGTTTTACAGTACTCAGATACATTTTTCTTTATATTAGGTCAATGAAATTGAATTAGTAGCCTGTCAGTTGTCTTCCTGACTCACAAATGTCCAGACAAACAAGAATCATGGTATAAAGCAATAAAATGTTCCCTATATTCCTTTGGAATAACAATCTACTTCCTCACCTCCCAATGATCCGATGCTGGAACATCAGCAGACCTCCTCTTTCTCATGAACACACCACTTTGTACACAAAATCCAATTGATACATCACTCTCACCCCCATTTCTCTTAGCTTCACTCCAACATTCCCTCAAACTCTCGTAACTGTTCTGTAACCTTATTAATTCCTCCTTGCCCACAACAAAATCTGGTACTACATCAATTTTTGCTTCTACAGTACACTCCTTATTATTTTCCATTTCTACTGTATTATCTGTGGTCATAACATCCGCTTTACTAAATATATCACCTATTCCCAAAATGTCATCAAAATCTTCTCTTCTCTTTGACATTGCCCTGGTCACAACACAAGCTGGGTACACAATTTCATTATACTGTGTGTCACCATCAGGTTTACACTTCTTTGAATCATCCAACATATCTTCATTTTTCACAACATTGTTCACCTCTACAGTAGCCTCTTCATCAAATGGATTTTCACACATAACAGGCTCTTGGACCACCTTGTCGCCAGTCAAATCATTACCCAATAACACCTCTATTCCACATACGGGAAGTTCAACACTTACCCCAACTTTTACAACGTCACTCACAAATTCACTCTCAAGATTTACATTATGTAATGGGACAGTCATCCTTGACCCTAATCCTCTTAAATTCACTTCTTCACCAGACTAAGACTCAACTGTCCACTCTAATACATTTTTCAAGATGAGTTTGTCCACTAATTTTCTTAATGTCCCTAAACCTTCTCCTGTACACTTCCGGATCCATTTCCACCGTCTTCAACACTGCTTCTTAAACAGCCTCATAATCCACAGACTCTGACAAACTCAGACACACATACGCCTCTCTGGCCTTACCCTTAAATTTACTGTGCACCAATTTTGCCCAGTCACCTTTGTCCCATTCTTTAATAGTTGCAACTTTTTCAAACTGAATAAAGAAGTCCTCAGTTTCTTCTTTCACAAACTTAGGCAAATGATCTATTATCTTTATCTCCATTTCCTCTCCTTATACCTGTTCACTCCTGTACTTTTGATTTCCTTAGTTCTACCTCTTTATTTGCCTGTATCTTCTCCTTTTTTTACCTGTATCTTCTCCTTTTCTACCTGTATCTTCTCCTTTTCTATCTGTATCTTCTCTTTATGTGACTGTATCGTCTCCTTTTCTCCCTGCATCGTCTCCTTTTCTACCTGTATCTTCTCCTTTTCTACCTGTATCTTCTCCTTTTCTACCTGTATCTTCTGCTTTTCTGCCCGTATCGTCTCCTTTTCTCCCTGTATCGTCTCCTTTTCTACCTGTATCTTCTCCTTTTCTACCTGTATCTTCTCCTTTTCTACCTGTATCTTCTCCTTTTCTACCTTTATCTTCTCCCTTTCTACCTGTATCTTCTCCTTTTCTACCTGTATCTTCTCCTTTTCTACCTATATCTTCTCCTTTTCTACCTGTATCTTCTCCTTTTCTACCTATATCTTCTCCTTTTCTGCCTGTATCTTCTCCTTTTCTACCTGTATCTTCTCCTTTTCTACCTGTATCTTCTCCTTTTCTACCTGTATCTTCTCCTTTTCTACCTGTATCTTCTCCTTTTCTGCCTGTATCTTCTCCCTTTCTACCTGTATCTTCTCCTTTTCTACCTGTATCTTCTCCTTTTCTACCTGTATCTTCTCCTTTTCTACCTGTATCTTCTCCTTTTCTACCTGTATCTTCTCCTTTTCTGCCTATATCTTCTCCTTTTCTACCTGTATCTTCTCCTTTTCTACCTATGTCTTCTCCCTTTCTACCTATATCTTCTCCTTTTCTACCTGTATCTTCTCCTTTTCTACCTGTATCTTCTCCTTTTCTACCTATATCTTCTCCTTTTTTACCTGTATCTTCTCCTTTTCTCCCTGTATCTTCTCCTTTTCTGCCTGTATCTTCTCCTTTTCTAAGTGTCTCTTCTCCTTTTCTTCCTGTATCTTCTCCTTTTCTCCCTGTATCTTCTCTTTATTTGCCTGTATCTTCTCCTTTTCTTCCTGTATCTTCTCCTTTTCTCCCTGTATCTTCTCTTTATTTGCCTGTTTCTTCTCCTTTTCTACCTGTATCTTCTCTTTATTTGCCTGTATCTTCTCCGTTTCGTCCTGTACCTTCTTTTTATGTGACTGTATCTTCTCCTTTTCTACCTGTATCTTCTCCTTTTCTACCTGTATCTTCTCCCTTTCTGCCTATATCTTCTCCTTTTCTACCTGTATCTTCTCCTTTTCTACCTATATCTTCTCCCTTTCTACCTGTATCTTCTCCTTTTCTACCTATATCTTCTCCTTTTCTACCTGTATCTTTTCCTTTTCTACCTGTATCTTTTCCTTTTCTGCCTGTATTTACTCCTTTTCTATCTATATCTTCTCCTTTTCTGCCTGTATTTTCTCCTTTTCTACCTGTATCTTTTCCTTTTCTGCCTGTAACTTCTCTTTTTCTACCTGTACCTTCTCCTTTTCTGCCTGTATCTTCTCCCTTTCTACCTATATCTTCTCTTTATCTGCCTGTATCTTCTCCTTTTTTTCTTTGCACCTCTATTTGCATTTTCTTAAATTCAAATTCTAATTTTATCTTCTCCATTGCCACTTGTTCACTTATCTGTTTGTAACCACCACTAAAATTACCAACACCTTCAACTTCCTCCAATATTAACAAAGACAATAATTCATCAATTAACTCTCTCTGCATATCACTTTTGATATATGACCTCAGAGAAATTTCATACCAAGATGCCACCTCACGTAGTTCTTCCTCATTATACTGATACAAAAAGTGAACATCATTGGTTTCCTGAAATTTATCAACATTTCCTGTCATGTTTCCAATTTTTCACAGCAATCACCTCACCTCATAATTTTTATAAGTATTAACACTTAATTGCTTACAGGAACCTCACCAGCACACTACACGAGAGCACAGTAACTAACCTTCAAACACTTCAGTACAGCTTGGTTACACTGAGACAATTAGTATACTTGACTCATTCCTTCCCGGACACAGGCCCCCATGTTACAACCATCACACCCTCTTCTAGGATTCACTAGAGGATGTATAGTCAGCCCATAGGCAAATTATATCAGAGGAGACTCTGAAATAACAGCTTCTGTTAACAGGGAGATTAAATGTTAAAGTCAGACCCTCACCTTATTTCTGGCTAACAATCTCCGGACAGCTGACAGGTGTTTATTGTAATACCACTGTTCCCATTAAAACTGGTTTAATCAAATCACAGCTTTAAACAGTACAACAAAATATATTTAACGACAAAATATAATGAATATGTGTTCTCCATCTACGCGCATACAAAAAGGCCACAAATCAATTCACTCAAAATAATATTATCTCCACCAAATACAAGGCTTTCTCACTACTACAATACTCTTTAGACTATAATGAACATATTACACTTTAGTTAACACCATAATTATCCATGATTGTCCAGATAATAATAGATAAATATGCACCACACAAGCTTGACCCTCCTATCCTCTTCAACCTAGCTACCGGGAGAGAGTCGAATAAACAAAGATGTTCCAATACTTTCTTGTTTCATCAACATATAATTTATATTTCTTCATATACTTCACACCTGCTTCTTACAGTCTTTCATAACTATACAAACAATACAAACATATTCCACATATTTTACATAATGAAACAAATACTATTATAGATACTAATATAAAAATAATCAAAAATTTTTTTTAGTTTTTACCATAAATTTGGAATTTCGATTCTAAAGAAAAACGGGACACAATAGAAAGTAAAAGCAATGGGTAACTGAAACAAATATTGAGGGAAAGCGGAGACTGTAAACAATATATATATATATATATATATATATATATATATATATATATATATATATATATATATATATATATATATATATATATACAAATAAATCACTGTAGGTGCGCGTGATCTAGGTATATGCTGATAACCACAAGGAAGAGAAACACAGGATTCCCAAGCGCTTTCGTGTAATTCACATCTTCAGGGGAGTACAGACTAGTCTGTACTCACCCTGAAATATATATATATATATATATATATATATATATATATATATATATATATATATATATACAGAGAGGTGAGATCAAGTCCCACAATGGTCAGGAATTAGAGTAATGACCCTATATATATATATATATATATATATATATATATATATATATATATATATATATATATATATATATATATATATATCTTCTCCTTAGTCATACTCACCCCTGAAGATGTGAATTACACGAAAGCGCTTGAGAATTTCGTGTTTCTTCTTTCCTTGTGGTTATCAGCATATACTGGATCACAGCACCCACAGTGATTTACTTGCATATATATATATATATATATATATATATATATATATATATATATATATATATATATATATATATATATATATATATATATATATATATATATATATATATATATATATATATTATATATATATATATATATAATATATATATATATATATATATATATATATATATATATATATATATATATCATGTAAATCACAATGAAAGCTAAGGTGCTACGTTGTTTCCATTTTCCCGTGTGATTTTATCAAGATATAAATAATATATACTGTATACACATATATATATATATATATATATATATATATATATATATATATATATATATATATATATATATATATAGAGAGAGAGAGAGACTTTTTCGTGATCCTGATATCCTTACTATAGGGTGACCATGGCTCCTTACGGAGAAGAATTTCGTCAATTCTTCAAACAATCGGATTCTGGTGTGTTCCAGGCCCTCTCAGATATCATGGAAATTGTACCTACTGCTGCTCAAGGACTACGTCGGGCCTCTGAGGAGAGGTAAGGTGTTTATGACAGTTTGCTAAGGCTATTACATTAATTTTCCCGGGTATATATACTAAACTTCTATACTCTACTATCAGTTTTCCCTTAAAATGTTGGCCTATGCTTGTATTGCCACTATACCCCCTAAAATAATGGGAGTGACAACTGCATACCGAATACTATATATAACTATACCCAGTGTTGTACGTTGATTTAACGCCGTCAGTGGACGGCGGCAACTCTTTGTTAACACTGACGCCATCAATTTTTTGGGCAGGTGACGCTAAAAGTGACGCAATCAACTTTTCACCCGAGCGGAGCGACAAGCGTCAATTTGTTCAACTTCTAAAATTTTCGATTTTTCCACGTTCGATTTTCAATTATCTTATTATAAAGACCACCGACAAGGCCATGAGGGAGTTGTTCATCAAATACAACACCCCCATCCCCTCTAGTGCTGCCGTGCAGCGCATGTTCTCCATGGGCAAGGAGCAGCAGAATGAGCGACAAGCATTTTGAGATGCTAGAATTCTTACGGGGGAACAAATGAATAAGTAAAATGATATAATATAAATCATAACAAATGATTAAAAATGAATGAATATTTTTTTAGTTTCCATATGTTACTCCCATACACAGGAGAATACGCATTTCGGGGCTCCATTTGTACGTGACTGAAAACTCGTTGACGCTACGTTTTGACGCTGACGCTAACGGCGTCAATTTGTGAAATCTTTTACGCCCAACCCTGACGGCATCAAATTTCTCGTCCGTTTACGCGGACACTTTTTTCATTGACGCGTACAGCACTGACTATACCATGTTTTTGTTTTTTGTTTTCTTACTACTGTCCAATTCTCTAATCAGAATTTCTGGATAAACTTATCGCACATATTCCCTGTCTAACCCTAAACTTTGTAGTATGATCGTTACTTAATAGGACTGTATTATTCTGATAAATAAAAACAAAATAATTCACTCTATATCAATTGTTAATATCAATTTTTTTCAAGGCATCAAAAAATTTGCTGTTTTTGATCCTAATAAGTAGATATATAATTATCCGTTTTCTCGAAGCTCTTACATTTGAAATCCTTGAGGAAACTATGCCGCCCTTAATTCCTCTTTGCTATATAAATCCATTTTGTTATTCATATATCTCAGTCAGTTTCATGTTTACCTTTATAATATTCATAAAACTTGGAACGTATGTTGTAAAATGTGAACACTCTATGAAATTAACTGGGAAGCTTCCCTCCATTTGCCCACTCGTTTGTTTGTAATTTTTCTGGAAATAGATAAACCATACAAACAAAGATAATTTTTCATGTTTTGCTCAGCTGCCTCAAGTTCTGTTTTAAGAATTGTTAACTTGAGAGGTGCAGACAACGGTGAATAGTCTATAAACATCAAAATCTTCCTTCACTAACACTTAGAAGTACTACTGTATGTTGGAAAGTAGGTAATGCATCATACAGAAAATACATTATACCTTTAAGGTTGTGATCTTTCAGGGAATCTTACATGGACGGGCGTCGCTACCTGGAGCAAATGATCGCTGATCACTTCACAAGGGTGGATGGCAGCACACAAATGTACGTTGGAAGAGAGAGCGTTTTACCGGCCCTCGGAGCGTGGCCCATACCCCACGACGCTCCCTACAAACCCCACTTGGATAAACTTATGCTGTACATCGTCGAGGTGAATAAAGTGTTTGGAGGTGATAAATCATTAAATTCTATGAAACGCTTTGATTTTAATTATAAGGAAAATATTTTACAATTTGAACTTGCATATTTACCTGTACTATAAGTGAGATGGAAGGTCATAATATATTGAAAAAGGAAAGTTTCTTCATCATTCAATTAATTGTCACATTTCCTTTAAAATTGTTATCACCATTTATCGACAAAACTTGGAAACTAAAGTGAAAACTGGGGTTGCAGAGCATTAGGTTTAAGGATAACTTTTAGGATTATTATATTCAGTTCTTGCCGGGACCGCTTGCAGGTTAATGCAAGTTTGCTTCCATGAATATCCCTTTTATTTTAATTGCATGCCTTAACAGAGAAACAAAAAACTATACCAAAGAGTACAACTAGCACGACTAGCTACAGCGATACAGATATGAATGAGATATTAATATGTATTATTGAGAGAGGGTGGAGTCTGAGAAGCTGTAATGATTGTAACAATAGATAAGGCGGTTAATAATGTCATTAGGAAAGAATATGTTCATTACCATCATCATTATCTTAAGGCTCTTAACATTTTATTGGTGGCATTGGAAAGTAAAAAAAAATACCGTTTCAGGAAAAGTATTTTTATGTGTTAGCTTTCCTTATTTAGCTAACATTTTGTCATTAAACAACTAAAAATTCGTATATTCTAGTCCGGATTGTACGAGAAATGGATGGAAGATATGCTGAGCAAAGCCAGGCAAGATAGTCGCGGAAGAAAGCGGGAATACCAAAAGAAGCAAGGCCAGGAGGTGGTCGCTGTACAAGAAGGTGACAAAAGGAATCAAGCGCTGACACTCGTCCACATGCAAGGACCCTTCATACTCCTCCTTTTGGGTCTCTCTTTATCTTGTAGCATCATTTTGACTGAGTTTGTGATAACATTGTTCAGAAAGGAAACAATAAAATATTAGAGCTCTGCGTGTACATGAGAGAGCAATCACATGATGTTAGCTAATAAAATCATCTAGTCCTGATCGAAAGTGACGCTTTACTCTGTGTAATGTTCAGATACAATGGATGTTCGCTCTAACACATCACATTAAAATCAAACTGATGGTGTAAGAAAGATATGAATCACAACACTCTCAAAATTAGCACTGTGACAACCATCACGTTGACGGAACAGCTCCTAACGGCAGTTTCGAATAATTTAAAAACAAAGGAGACTTTAAGAGACCACCAGGAGATCCTTACAGAAAAATATCACCAAAATCCATTAATCGTTCAGTATAAGTAATATTTTTTATATGGCCGCAATAGCTGTCATGTTACATGAGAGAACAATATTAAAACAAGATATATTTTTTGTAAAATTTTCTCAAGATCTTAAAAAACATCCTTGAACACTTTTGATATAAAAGATTTTTGGAAAGACATTGAAACATCAAAAAATATATTGTGGTACATTATCAACACAAGATAATTTGTAGAGGCTCATCAAGAGACTCATTCTGGCATTTACTTTTTTCTAACCACACAGACCAAGACGAAGAAGTTATGATTTTAAAATGTTTAAGTTGGCTTTTATTTTGTTTTACTGGACTGATTAGTGAAATTACTTGAAGACGGAAATCTGTTGCCGGTCATCGCCACAGTAAAAACCTTTCCAGCACCGCCAGACTTCATCAGGAATGATATCACTTGGCAGTTAGCTTCATAAGAACTCGAACTCATCAATACTTGTGAAGTGAAATGACCACTGCTTCCATTCCGTCATTTTGATGGTATTATTTAAGGCTTTAATAATATTCATGTTGTAAATACAAAATATTAAAAAACAAATTATTTTATTTACATTAAAATGATAAAGTTTCAAATACACGATGGCCTTGCAATATTTGCATGTTAAGTTATTCAGTATTATTTGTAAAGTGTGTGTGTGTGTGTGTGTGTAGGGGTGTGTGTGTATGTGTGTGTGTGTGTGCGTGTGTGTGTGTGTGTGTGTAATCATAATAATAATAATAATTAACGGTTTATTGAAAGAGCTTGGCAGCCAGAAGGCTCAAAATATACAGTTACATAATTGGGGAATGGGTTTCGAATTACAAATAATATACAAATAACATAAGTGATATAAATATGATATATAATAACTAGATAGGGAAAAGCTCAGACTACAGGGCATTTCAACATAGTGACAGTGCAAGAAGTAGTATTTACTGGGAGTGAATACAATGGTTTGTTACATGTAATTGATAATTTTGACAATGTTTGGGACTGGGCTGTTCTTTTAGCGATCAGTTCGTGCACATATGGGTTGGATGCGGTTGTGGTGTCGTACAGCAATTCTCGGGCTAGGGATCCCAGGTGTTAGTAGGAGCCGGTGTCGAGGATGGTGCAGAAGCTTCTTACCAAATTTGCAGATGAGGTCGTGGTGATGGTCAGTGAGAGTCGAAAGGGTCAGTGTGTTGAGCGCTTCTTGATATGTGGAGTAGGAAAGGGAGAGAATAATCTTGCATGCCCTCTTTTGCACTTTTTCTAGGTGTTTACGTTGTGTGGCATTTAGGGAGGAAGACCAGGTAGGGGAGGCATAGGTGAGCTTGGGAAGTATGAATGTTGAGTAAACACTGAGGAGCTCGGGTGCAGGAACTCCGAGGGACTTGAGTCGGCGGAGGAGGTGGAGACGGAAACTGGAGGATTTGACAACTTCACTGACGTGTGGTTTCCAATTTAGTTTGTTGTCTATGGTGACGCCGAGGAGCTTCGTGGAATCTACAACCTGGAGTGTGTTCGGACCTAAATTAGTGGAAGGGGGTGGGACAATGTCGGAGGAGAGGTTGATGTGCATAACCATGGTCTTGGTATGGTTGATGGTGACGTGGTTGGTGGTGGCCCAGTTTTTGAGACTGTTCAATAAATCCTGAAGGGAGGTATAGTCGGGAGCAGAACTGTTGACGCTGATCCCAATGGTGGAGTCGTCAACATATTTCCAGCGAGTGGGGGTTTCTCTAAGGGCATTATTGATAAGCATAAGAAAGCCTTGGGGGACGCCACAGGTGAGTGACTGAAAGGTGGAGACAGCCCTCAGAAGCGTACAGCTTGGCGTCGGTCACTGAGGAAGTCTGTGAGCCATGGTATAAGCCTTCTCCGAAGCCCGAGGTCTATAGCTTTGTTGATGATTATATTGTGGTCGACTAGGTCGAATGCTTCAGTGAAATCAATGAAGGCGACAGCTACAGACGTTTTTCGTTTCTCGAGATGGCGGAATATGTACTCGAGAAAGCTGACAAGACAGTGAGTGGTGGAGGAAGTTTTTATACTGCCAAATTGCTGAGGGTCTACGACTCCTGCAATATCAGCATAAGCCCAGTCGAACACAAAACTTTCACAGATTAGGCTGGGTATTGGGGTGATTGCAATAGGTCGTAGCTGATTTAAGGATTGTGGGCTGGTTGACTTGGGCACTGGTGATACAAAAGAGGTCTTCCAGTCAGCTGGGCATCTGGCTTGACTGAGAGAAGCATTGATGATGGAGCATAGGGGTTTAGCAAGCTCCGGGGAGAACTCCTTGAAGAGTTTCATTGGAAAGTCAATGGGGGTGGTAGAGCGTTTTAATTTTAGTTTGTCCAGACGTTTTGCTACTTCAAATTCTTCTACTAAGTCAGTGGGAAGAGGGGCTGGTAGGTAAGCAGGGAGAGTGGTTGCGTCTGGCATATAGTAGCGAAATGATTATTTGATTGCTCAGCTGCGTCAACATTAGTGAGATGGCTAAGGAAGGGGAGGGGGTGTGTCTTATTGTTTAGTCCACAGAGTTCTTTAAGCTTACCATACCATTGACTGATGTTGGTCTGCTTCAGGTGTTGTAATTTGTTTGGGAAGTGGGACTTCTTTGCAGTGCGCATTTCGCGGATGACTCGGTTGCGAAGGGACCTGTAGCGGATGTGGTCATTGAGATGAAAGGCTCTGTCTCTCTGTTGCATAAGTCTTTTGATCCGAGGAGTGATCCAGGGCAAGTCAGCTGGGTGAGATCTGACGGACTTTTCGGGGAAGAAGTGGTGGTGAGCTTCCGTGGTGGTGTTGGTATAATTTTTCCATTTGGTTTCCACGTCATCCACGCTAAGTACGTCAGTCCAGGGATGGTGAACTATCCACTGCCCGAAGAGGCGCACTGCAGAGTCAGTAATCGGCTTGTAGGTCTTGATGTAGTGGGAGTGGGAGTGGAAAGATTCAGTAAAAATGAAGCAACAGCAAGAGGTGTGCGTGGATGATTGTACGTTTATATCAGTACATATCTGCATATCAGTATATCTGTACGTGTGTGAGAGTAAGCCCCTGTAATGTGTACTAAATATTTTATTTCACTAACAGTTTACACAATGCACCAGTCGTATTTACAAACAAACAGTCACACTATTGCACTTTACCAGTCCTCCTCGGCGACTTCTGCGCAACCTAGGTAACTGTAGTATATAATTATGTCTGACTGCCACTGGTAGACTTCACTAACCACGTGTCACTTCACCGAGTATGGCGTCGTCAGGGCCAGATTTACCAATAGGCTAAGTAGGCCATTGGCGTAGGTCCCACCGGTATCTGGGGGCCCACTGAAACTAATTTGTCACGCAGCGTGCCAGTGATAACCTGTTGTTGTTGTTGAGATTGTCGGACCGTACTACGACACGGGCCTTTGCCTGTAGGCGGCCCGTTTGGTGGTTCCGGCTGGAGCTCCTGGAGCAGCCAGACCGGATTGGGATTGGAGATGGTCCCACCTGCAGATTTGAAAGGATACTGCAGGTTGCAAGTGTGAGCGGACCCCTGATCAGTGGACGCTTACCACCAACCCCCACTCTTAGACGTGGTCAGTTTCGGAGTGGCGCGCCCCCCGAACTGGGGTCCGCACTTGTTGGGAGAGGATACTTTCTAAGCTATCTGGGTGCTGGGTATTGTGTGATGACCCTTTGAAGGTGGTGAATGTGGTTTGTTTGGGCCTTTCGGGTTAGAGTGGCCGCTGGTGTTGTGTGTGCTTCTTGGAAGTTTTGAGTTCTGTTTCGGAGACTTTGTGTGACTTCGCAGTCGAGGAGATAGTGTTCAAGTGGGTTGGCTGCTGGCTCCTGACAGTAGGTGCATTCCATGACGTCATTTCCGATCATCTGCCAGCATTGGACTGAGGATGCCTCCTTGTGGGGTACCGTTTTCATGGACCCTGTAAGTTGAGGTTGCTCCCTGAAATCGTACTCTTGCTTCTCTCTGTGTGAGGTAGTTCTGGATCCACCAGCAACCTTCCTTTGACGCCTTTTTCAGCGAGCGTCGTTGTAATGGCCAGTGAATTTGCTAGTTCGAAGGCCTTCTCCAGGTCGAGGAAGACCACCAGAGCTGGTTTGTAGTCCACTGTGCTGAGTATCTCGGCGATGTTGTTGCCTGTGCCGGTGTTCTCGGTGTAAGCAAAAATGTGAGGGTGTGGGCTGCCTACTATCCACTTGAGTCGGTTGAGAGCCATTCTTTCTCCCGTCTTCGCTATGCGGCTGAGAAGGGAGATGGGCCTCGGTTTTTCTGGTTCTCTGGGCTTCGGAATGGGCTGTATCTCTGCCTTCTTCCATTCCGGTGGGAGTCTTTGTGCTGTCCTCGAAGCATTGATGACTTGTAGCAAAGCCTCGTGTCCGGCTTTACCGGTATGGGAAATCATGGAGTAGGTGATGTTGTCGGCCCCTGGAGCTGTGTCCTTGCTTCGTTTTAGCGACTTCTGGAGTTCTTGCTAGTTGAAAGGCCTGTCGGTGTCATCTTCACTGTTGCAGGCCTCTTCGATCATCTGGAGTCTGACCTGTCGCAGACGCCGTTGTGTCTCCTCCGCCTGTCTCGGGAGGTTTTTCGTTGCTGCTCGGTCAGAGAACAGCTTTGCAAGTCTCTCGGCCTCCTCTTCTGGGTTGGGATGGGTTGGTGGTGGTGGTGTTGCCTTCCCAGATGCCCTTCGGATCTGGGCCCACATCTTGCCAAGGGAGGTGTGCTCGTTCAGTTCGGAGCACCACTTGAGCCAGCTTACGTTTTTTATTTCTTCCTTCTCTTCCCTGGTATCCTTAGCTATGACTTGCAGGAGATGTCTGTTTGTTTCCGTGGGATGTCTCCTGTAGTTTCTTCGGGCCATATTCACTCTGTGGTTGAGTTCTTTCACCCTGGGACAGTAGTACCAGTAATCATTGTACTGTCTTGATGTGGGTTTTGTTTTTGGGATAGCCTCTTCTGCCGCTTGGTGAAACGCCTCGACCAATTGGTGGTGGAGGGTTGTCTCGTCGACGGGTGCTGCACCGGCCGGCTGTGATTTTTCGCGCCACTTTGCCAGGTGTTTCTTAAAGAGTCCCCAGTCTGCCTTTTGGGTATTGTATCTCCATCTCGGCGGGGGTGGAGTGGGGAGTTTGTTCACCTTCAGCGTTGTTAGGGTGGCGAAGTGGTCGCTGGTCAGCGTGGGGTGTAGCTGCCAGGAGGCCGAAGGCTGTAGTGCACTGGAGACGAAGGTTAGATCTAGCCTTCCTCCCCTAGTGTGGGTGGGCTCTCCTATGTTCAGGAGGCAGATCTCGGGTGTGTCTTGAAAGGAGGTGTATAGGTGTAGGCCGTCTTCATTTGTGGGGCTTACCGAGCTTAGGAAGGGATGATGTGCGTTTAAATCCCCTCCTATGAGTGTGGCGTGGTCAGCGGCCGAAGCGAATAATTGAGTCACCTCCAGTGAGCCCCTTGGGTTCTTGTAGATGTTGTGAACAGTTAATTCCCGTTCTTGGAGGGTTACTTTGACGGCCTGTGT